GTTTTCAGCTAACTGCGATATGCCATCCGCGTTCAAGTTTTTCACACTTTCGTTTTCCTCAAGGTTCTCCTACCAAATCACGGCCCGCACGCATATGGTCTCCAAAATGTAATGTTATAGCCTATGTATTCTGGGCCTGTCGTTTATTTATTTTCTGTTAAACACGGATTTACTCTTAATGTGTTGCCTTGATAAAATTTAGTCGTTAGTGTATTTCTTTAATAAAATTTAGTCGTCAAACGCCGACAGCGCCACCTAATGCATTTTATATGTCATTTTGTTGTATTTGTTTTATTAATATCCACTGGGCGGTGTTTAATTTCATATTTTTGATGTTTGATTGTGCACAATGGTTTATAAATTGGTGTATTTTTACTAGTACAGTACAGTACTGAAATCGTACATGTCCACGTGGGTTTCACTTAACAACGGAAATAGTGTAATTAAATCCCAGGGATTAATAGTTGCAATACCATCCCGGGGTACTCACATTGAAGTGCTATATGTATTTGTGCCGCCAAAAGGGGTCCCAAATTCATTATTTCTGTCTGAAAAGGGGCTCATTTTTTCTTACTGTAACTTCTTTCGACCGTCAAAGTCCATCCCGGGAGTCCACTTGCTTTTTTGCTCACTGTCTGGAAATATATCCACAGTTTGTCTGAAACGGAGTAGGCAATTTGAGCTTATTTCTGTCTGATAAGGGGTAGGGGTAGCTACACGCCCCTGTCAGTAATATTTGCAAGTACCCCCCCCCCCGGAATACCATCCACTTTTTCGTCCGAGGGCGCAATACTTAACTCACCGTGACGTAATATGCTATGCTGAAATGTTGGATTTATGAACATCGTGTTACGAATGCCGAATTACGGAAATGACCACGCCTATATTTTAGGAACAATGCCAACTTTTACATAACCACATCAGAATTAATAACTCGATGTTCAATAGTTAACCAAAATTTGAGTCATGGGCAACAAAAAATGTTTTACTTGATTAACGTCACATTTAGTAATTCGAATTTTAATTAACAGTTGACCGACAGTCCAGTTAGGATTTAATAATCAACATCTCCGATAATAAACTCATTCGCTGAAATACGGCAATATCTGCCGAACGTAGTTCAGCAGGTGGTACCGGGGGTTAAAGATGCAATATGGATAAAAAAAGTCATTTAATTTTTAATAATGCCGTTGAATGATGTATGTCTGTAAATACATTCGATTATGATTTATTATGAGCTAGATGAACCATTTAAATTCTCGGTAAAATATTTTTGTTAATGATTATAATTTTATTGTACTGCATCTTGCTAAAAAAACAATTCTGTGTTAGTCGCCGTAAATTAAAAAATAAAAGTTTTGGGCGCAAACATAGCTGCATTTGTTCAGTTTGATGCAGTACTGAAAGCACGAGTTTGTATTACCTGTTCGTATAGGTAAACTTTGGCGCATGCGCGTCAGTGTTATTCAGTATTTCATCGAAATAATACTAATATGGTTAATGCCAAAATAAAATAATTATATTCATGATCAATAACACTATGTGGTTATCGAGACTGCTTCTTAACGATTACGTATGCTGGAATTTATCCCGGCTCCTCGTCATTTCTAAACACCTATTTATTGTTATGATTCATGTGGACGTGGTGTAGTTGCTGTTGTTGTTGTTGTTGTTGTGTCGTCGTTTTAATTTAGTCATTCCGCAAACAATTCTGTAGTTGTACTGATTAAAGTTCCAGAGATGTTGTTATAATTAATAATATTTTCCCGGCATTAAATATTTCTAAATTCCGGTTACGCCATTCCGGGTTTTATGTACAGCACA